TTGAGGGGTCTTCAGGTCTATCACAGGGTTTTCCAGGTCAGAGCCCCAGGGGAAGGTCATAAATGCCTTTGCAGAACCCTGTGTCTGGAGGGGAACCCCTGCTCAGCCTGGCTGCATTGGGAGCACTCTTTAGGGGAGCTGAGGAAAGGCTCCCTCCCCTCCAGCCTGAGATCAAGTCTCTGCCTTGTTCTCTGACCTTTCTTTATCGCCCCATCCTCCAGTGAGCCCCTCTCTTTAAACCTAAGCCTTTCAGCTGCTCCCCTCTCACTTGTCTAACAGCATTGAACCCTCTGTTGATGCCTGGACTGATTTCTGTCTGAAATGCACCTCTCTCCATGGTCCCAGGCTTTGTAAGTGATGGAAAGCAGAGTGTGAGCAGAGGACAGGTGACATTTATCTAATCTCAGCACCAGAGCAGCTGTTGTGGACTCTAAATTAGCCACTTTGCCTGCTTTTCCTTTTTGTGGTGCTGGGAATGGACAAGTGCCCTGCCACTGCCCCAAGGCCAACCCTCCTAATATAGAATTGCCACCTTCTCCCATGGAAAATCCCCAGATTTGAATTGTGAGCTTGGGATAAACCTGTGTGATCTGGTTCTCTCTTGTAAGTCTTGGACACATAACACTATGGAAGATTCTGGAAAGTTCCACACTGCAGAAACCTGTTTACTTTGGGACTCCTTGTAACAGAGACTGCCAGTTCTATCCTGTTTCTAAGAGTTTGGCTTTGCTGGGTCAGTTCTGAGCAGCTTTTTTGCCAGGAAGTTCATGTCTGCATCTAGCTAAAGCCGGTGTCCCCCACTTTTGGGCCACTGGGCAGCATCTTCAGGTAGCCCTTTGCTTCCCTGTCAGATACCCCTGGTGCTGTCTACTTCCATCTTTGAGTGGCATCTTAACCTGCTTGTCTTTCCGAGGGCCTCCCACTGAACAGCCCCAGTCTCCTTGGAGTGTGGGGTCTGCATGGAGTAGAGCAGAGCGTCATGGGGCAGGTGGGCAGGGTGGCTGCCTTCATGGGACTTTTCACCCTTGCCATCCTGAGCATTGTGGCAGGCTTCTGGACTCACTGCTCTATCCCAGGTATCAAAGATGTGCTGCGGAAACCTGCCTCTTCAGAAACCTGGGCCTAAGAAGCTGGTCCGGGTCGGGGCATGGAGCGGAGGGTGGGGGTTATTCCTTAGTTTTAGGACTTCACTTTTGAAAACTGTGGTAAGATAGTACAAAAGTTACCTTTCTTGGCCAGGCGTGGTGGTGCACGCCTTTAATCCCAGCACTCGGGAGGCAGAGGCAGGTGGATCTCGGTGAGTTCAAGGCCAGCCTGGTCTACATAGTGAGTTCTAGGCCAGCTGGGGCTACAGGGAGACCCTGTCTCAAAAAGACAAAAAAAAAGTTAACCTTTCTTAATGGTGCTTGTGATTAAATTCAGGGCTTTGTACATTCTAGACAAGTGCTCTGGGTTCTTTTGTTTATTTGGTTTAATATTTTTATTTATTTATTTGTCTTTTTGAGACAGGGTCTCCCTATAGCCCCAGCTGTCCTGGAACTCACTATATAGACCAGGCTGGCCTTGAACTCACAGAGATCCGCCTGCCTTTGCCTCCCGAGTGCTGGGACTACAGGCATGCACCACCACGCCCGTCTCAGGTATTAATTTTTGTTTTATGTGTGAGTGTTTTACCTCCATGTATGTAAGTGCACCTGTGTCATGCAGTGCCCATGGAGGCCAGAAGAGGGCATCAGATGCCCTGGGACTCGTGTTAGGGACAGTTGTTAGCCACCATGTGGATGGGTCCCCTGCAAGAGCAACAAGTGCTCTTAACCACTGAGCCATCTCTCCAGCCCTAAGAGAGATTTATTTTTTTTATTTTTTACAGATTTATTTTTATTTTCATGTCTCCTCTCTCTCTCTCTCTCTCTCTCTCTCTCTGTATGAGACCTCAGGAGTAGAAGAGGGTGATGGATTCCCTGGAGCTAGGTTACAGGTGGTTGTGAGCCACCCAACATGGGTGTTAGAAACGAAACTCAGGTCCTCTGGAAGAACAGCAGTAAGTGCTCTTAACCTCTGATGCATTTCTTCAGCCTTTTTTTTTCCTTTTTATGTGTCTATGTGTAGGAGTGTTTTGCCTGCATGTAAGTGCACCTGTGCATGCAACCACAAAGTCCAGAAGAGGGTGTCAGATCTCTTGACAGTGGAGTTATAGACAGTTGTTAGCCACCGTATGGGTACTAGAAACTGAACTGGGGTCTGCTACAAAAGCAGTCAGTACTCTTAACTGCTGAGCCATGGGTACTTGATATCACAAGGAACTGAGCTGGTCTGTCTGGAAACCTGGAGGCAGCTTGCTTATTTCCAGAAGTGGGGCACCTACATTCCGGGATCCTCAGAGGTCAACACACAGGATCTTGCCTGTGTCCTTTGTAGTATAACTCTTCCAGCAACAAGGCTGTGCCCAGTGGGATGAAATGCCCAGCAGAAGAGGGTGGTGAATGCTGGCACCAGAAAAAGAACAGACAGTGGGTGCTGTTGTGGAGCAGGAAGGTCACCGAGGAGAGCAGGGAGGAGTGTGTGCATGTGCAGTGGCCGGAATAGTATGAATATGGAGCGTGTCAGGAATTCCTGAGCCCCTCTCCAGCTTGATAATGTGGGCCTTAAATACCACTGCCCACAACCTAGATTTCTAGTTGCCCACAGGCTGTGTTTCTTGGTAGGTGGTGGTTTTCAACGGTGATGGCTTTTCATTATGGAAATGGAGGTGGGGGCAAATGGGTAGTGAAAAAGTCTGACTAGAGCTTGGAGTGGTAGCACACGCCTTTAATCCCAGCCCTTGGGAGGCGGAGGCAGAAGCAGGCACATCTCTGTGAGATAGAGGCTAGCCTGGTCGTCATAGTAAGTTCCAGGCCAAGTGGGGCTACAGGGAGACCCTGTCTCAAAACAACAAAAACAACAACAACAACACACACAAGATGACCATTTTGAGCTGGTGTGGTGGCACACATTTGTAATCCAGCCCTTAGGAGGTAGAGATAGGAAGATCAGTAGTGCAAGGAGAATTTGAGGTTGATCTGGGCTACAGAGTAGAACCCTGACTCAAAAACAAAAAAACACAAGAGGGGCTGGAGAGATGACTCAGTAGTTAAGAGCCAGTACTTCTTTTTCAGAAGACATGAGTTCAGTTCCCAGTACCCACATCAGATGGCTAGCAACTGCCTGTGACTCCAGCTCCAGGGGAATAAAATGCCCTCTTCTGGTCTCTGTGGGTACTGCACTTATTTGCACATACCCATACACAGATGCCCAGACTTACACATAGTTAAAAATAATAATAATCCCAGCACTTGGGAGACAGAGGCAGGTGGATCTCTGTGAGTTTGAGGGCAGCCTGGTCCATATAGTGAGTTCCAGGCCAGCTGGGGCTACAGGGAGACCTTGTCTCAAAAAGACCCAAATAAATAAAACAAAAGAGAGAAAATAACCATGTTAATGTTTAAGTATATACAGTTCGGGAACATTAAGTGCCTTTAGTGTTACACCAGTTACTTGACCATTTATCTCATAAAGTTTTTCCTTATCCCAGATTGAACCTTTACCCATTGAGGCATAGCTCCCAACCCCAGCAAATGCCCATGCACTTTCTGTCTATGTGAATTTGACTACTGTCCTTTTGTGAATGACTTGCTTCACTTAGCATGACATCCCTGAGGGTTACCCATATTATAGCATATGTCAATTTTTTTCTTTTTTATTGCTGAAGAATATTCCATTCCATCACTACACCACACTCCACTCTATGAGTCTATTTTGCTTATCAGCCCATTTATCTGTGAACTCTTGGATTGTTCACAGCTTTTGGTTGTGGAGACCTGAGTCATTCTTGTTTCTATGTATGTGGTGCTGGGGATGGAACTCAGGGCCTTCTGCCTGCTAGATGGGTGCTCTTCCACTGAGCTGCGTCCTAAGCCTCTTATTGGTTCTTTAATGCAAGGTGTTCAGACCTGAGCAACAAGGGGTTTCTGGGTAACAAGACATATTGTAAGGACTCAGTGGTAAGGGAGCTAGAGGAGCCCTTGGAAAGTCCTGTGAGGCCACCTGTGTCGGGAAGGGGCTGAGTAGGGAGTGGCTGGGAGGAGGTCCACAGCAGGTGCCTAAAGTTGGCTGGCCCAGGGAGAAGGGGGTAAGGCACACTTCTTGCCTCATGAAGCTAGTCTTGTTTCCAAGCAGGGCACTGGGACTAGAGTGACAGCTAGTATAGGTGCTGGCCCTCTGTGAGAGGACAGTCACCAACACAGGTGTGACTACTCAGATCTGGAGACAGAATGAGAGACCTGGAAGCCACAGCCTGAGGCCAGATCAGGCCTACTTCGTGGAATGGGAAGCACTCTCGAAGACCCAAGACCAGCAGGGCGTGGCAGGACACACCTTTAGTCCCAGCACTCCGGAAGCAGAGAAGGCAGAGCTCTGTGAGTTTGAGGCCAACCTGTCTATATAGTGAGTGCCAGGCCAGCTGGGGCTACAAAGTGAGACTCTGTCTCAACCCCCCACCCCCATAAAACAATAACAAAAAGACAAAGGGACAAACAGGAAGGTGAAGGGGGGTGCCAGAAATGGAAGCACCAGTGACTCAGGATGGTGACCACCAGGAACATTGATACCTGAGTACAGCATTTGTTGGGTTTGGGGGTGTGCCTCTCAATACCTCTAGAGGCCACTATTTGGAGGTGATGGGTCTATGTTGGCTGACTGAAACTGGAGGAACATTTTGAATGTGCAAAGCTCAAAGACAAATGTTTTGCTGAAAGAGGGGTCCCTTCTGATGCGGTGGCCTGGGAGGGGTCATTTCTGATGAGGTGCTCTGAGGGGTTCCTTCTGATGCGGTGGCCTGGATTGGCCTTGCAAAGCAGGAAGCATTTCTGTCACATTTCAACAGATGGATCCAAGGGAGTTACACAACTTGGAAACAAACAAGTATCTTTCTGTCCTGACCTCTCCTTCCTTTGACCATGTAGGTATGATGCTGGACGGGATGGCTTCATTGACCTGATGGAACTGAAGCTCATGATGGAGAAACTGGGGGCCCCCCAGACCCACCTGGGTCTAAAAAGCATGATCAAGGAGGTGGATGAGGACTTCGATGGCAAGCTCAGCTTCCGGGAGGTACGTGTGGCCTACTGAGCCTGAGAAGCTCACCCCCTGCCTCCCCAGTCTACAGCCCCCTGAGTACAAATGGGCTTGCCTCTTGAGAATTTGGATATTTAACCTGCAGCTCTGCTTTTAAATATACCTTTTACAAATTGGGTATGGTGGTATATTCCTGTAATTCTGGAACTTAGGAGGTGGAGGAAGATCAGGAGTTCAAGGCTAACCTTAGCTACATAGTGAGTTCAAGGCCAGCTAGGGCTCTATGAGACCCTGTCTCAAAAAAAACAACAACAACAAAAAATCGGGGCTGGAGAGATGGCTCAACAGTTAAGACCACTGGCTGCTCTTGCAGAGGACCAGGGTTTGATTCCCAACACCCACATGGTGGCTAACTGTCCATAACTCCAGTTCCAGGGGATCTGATAACCTCGTCTCACTTCTCCAGGCACTGCACACACAGGTGCACCTACCTACATGTAGGTAATACACTCATACACACATGCATGGTGGTGCATGCCTTTAATCCCAGGACTTGGGAGGCAGAAGCAGGTGAGTTCAAAGCCTACCTAGTCTACATAGCAAGTTCCAGGCCAGCTGGGGCTACAGGGAGGTCCTGTGTATTAGTCACTCTTCTGTTGCTGTGACAGAAACACTGACCAAAGCAACTTATGAAAGGAAGAATTTATTTGAGCTTACAGTTCCAGAATTATAGTCCGTCTTAGCAGGGAGGCAAGGCAGCAGAGGGTGGCTGGAGCAGGAGTGGAAGCTAAGCTCTCACATCTTCCAGCAGGCACAGGGAGCAAGACAGCAACTCCAGATCTGGCAAGGCTTAAGAACTTCCTAAGCCCACCACGCATAGTGGCACACACCTTTAATCCCAGCACTCTGGAGGCAGAGGCAGGCAGAGCTCTGTGAGTTGGAGGCCAGCCTGGTCTACAGAGTGAGTTCCAGGCCAGCTGGGGCTACAAGGAGACCCTGTCTCAAACCCCACCCTCTCGAAAAAAAGAACTCTCTATGCCGACTCCCAGTGATGTGTTTCCTCCGGCAAGGTCACACCTTCTAAGACTTCCCAAAACAGCACCACCAACTGGGGACAGAATGTCCAAGTACTTGGAGCCTGTGGAGGACGTTCTCATTCAAACCACCACACCCTATCTCAAAAAGACCAAAAAAAAAAAAAAAAAGAAAGAAAGAAAGAAGTAAATTCAGACCCTTCAGGTGGCATCCTGCTGTGTCATTTCACTCTGCCATGTCTGCCTGTGCCAGATGCTGGGGTGGCCACAAAGAACCTGTGCTCGCACTCGGACCTCAAGCTACCAGAGCAGAGTCCTCTCAGTACCTTCTATAAGCTTTTTTGGAGCCAGGATCTTGCTATATAGCCCAGGCTAGCCTCAAACTTGTAATCTGCCTATCTCAGCCTCCCAACTGCTGGGACTATAGACTAGTACCAATATGCCTCGCTACTCTGGGACTTTTAAAAATATATTTATTATTTTTATTGTATGTGTGTATGCGTGTATTGCCTGCATGTATGAAAGTGCACCCGTGTTGGAACTGGAGTTATAGATGTTGTCAGCTACCATGTGGGTGCTGGGAACCAAACCCGGGGGGGTTGTCCTTTGCAAGATCAACCAGTGCTCTTAACCACTGAGCAATCTCTCCAGCTCCAAGCCATGACTTGCCTAGAACAGACCAGTGGGCCTTGAACTCATAGAGATCCACTTGCCTCTGCCTCCTGAGCCCTGGAATTAAAAGCATATGTCACCACACCCAGCCCACTTTTTAATTTTTTTTGAGACAAGGTCTCACATTGTAGTCTATATCAGCCTGGAACTTACTGTATAGCCCAGGCTGGCTTTGAACTCATAGAAATCCTCCTGCCTCAGCATTCTGATTATAGGCTTATGCCGCCACGTCTTACTATCCTCCACCACATCTCACTAGCCTTGGATTATTCTTTTCTTTTTTTAATATTTCATTATTTTTATTTTAAATGTATGAATGTATTGCCTACATGTATGTAAGTACACCCGTGTTGTGCAGTGCCTGCAGAGGTCAGAAGAGGGTGCCAGACCCCCTGTAACTGAAGTTATGGATGGTTGTTAGCTGCCATGTGAGTGCTGGGACATGAACCTGGGTCCTCTGTAAGAACAGCCAGTACTTTTAACCCATGAGCCATCTCTCCAGCCCAGATTATTGTTTTCTTTTGAGGGGTATGTGTATGTGTGAGAAAGGGTCTCACGTAGCCCAGGCTGGCTTCAGCCTCACTTCGTAGATGAGAATGAACTTGAACTCCTGATCTCCTACATCTACCTCCCAAGTCCTAGAATTATAGGCATTTACCACCTCATCTGGCTCACTTTTGGGTTCTTTAAATCTTTTTGTTTGCTTTTACATTTATTTATTTACTTTGTGGGAAGTGGGGTGCACACATGTACAGTATGTGAGGTCAGAGGACAACTTGTGGGAGTCAGTTCTCTCCTGACACCTTTACATGGGTTCTGGAGGTTAAACTGGTTGTCAGACTTGGTGGCAAACAGCTTTAGCCTCTGGGCCATCTTGTGGGCCCACCCTTGGGTTCTTGACACACCCCTTTTCAATAGTGAGTACCCTAAACAGCAAGCTTATTTTTGTCATTTACAACCTAAGAACTCCCACACAGGAAAAGTTTTTGTACCACTAGCCACAGTCATGAAGTTAAAAATTCTCTCAATCCCAGGGCAGTATTGATGTCTTGTCACTGAAAGAGCTTTTGAGCTGTGTCGGACACTTTCCAATTCTTCTACACCATGCCAGTCTTTGTGGGCTATAAATAAGAAGACAAACAAGCTTGGGCAGTGGGGTAAACTGTCTTTCAGAGCATGAGTGACCGTAATGGGTGAAATGGGAGTGCCTGGAGTGCTGGATGTGCTTGGGTGAACTGTGTTTTCTTTTTCTGTTTTGGCTAGTTGGGGATCAGGGATCCCAGAGTTACGATGGGGGCTGTTGGTCATCTGAGCTGGCAGAGGAAGTCCTCCAGTCTAAATTTACTCTGGACCACAGGACTTCAAGAGAACAGCTCTGGGGAAAACACATGAGGGACTCCTTAGTGTTTCTGGCTCACAAAGCCCTTCTGTGAACATGAACACTTTTGCCTCCATTTCAATTTTTTAAAAAATTGAATTTTATTTATTTATTTGGGGGGACTAGATGGGTACATGCTTGCCAAGGCTCACCTGTGGAGGTCTGAGGATAACTTGGCCAGAGTGAGTGAGGCCCCTCTTTCCACCATGTGAGTCCTGGGGATCAATCTCAGGTTGTCAAGATTGGTGGCAAGCACCTTTACCCTCTGAGCCATCTCAGAGGCCTTGCCTCTAACTTTAGAAGTGGGAAAACTGGAGTCTTGGAGAACAGAAAGAGTCCTTGAGGTCAGTTGGATAGGTGCTGAACTGGGGTGATGCTCCCTCTTTCCTGAGCTGTCTCCCTGGTCCCTGAGAAGAGTAGAGGACTGCTTCTCATGGGGCCACACGTAGGGACCTCCTGTAAATGAAGTGCTTTCAGGATGGCTAGATGTTTAGCCTAATTTCTGTTGCCATAACAGAATATCCCAGCCTGGGTTATTTAGAAAGAAAAGTTTGTCTTGGTTTGTAGTTCTGGCAGTCCAAGAGCATGGCACTGGCATCTGCCTGGCTTCTGCTGAGGGCCTTGTGCTCAAAGTCAAAGGGAGCTAGTGTGGAAGAGAGATAGCAACTCAGTGAGGGAGGGACAAGAGAGCCAAGCTCCTTGCAGAATATTCACCCTCAGAAAGGCATTTTCCCTCTCAATGGCCTATTTGCCTCTTAAAATTTTTTTTTCATTTATTATTTTGTGCGTGTGTTTTATCTGAATGTATATAAGTGCATCTGTGACACGCAGTGTCCACAGAGGACAGAAGAGGGTTTCAGATCCCCTGGAACTGGAGTTAGGGACTGTTGTGAGCCACCATGTGGGTGCTGGGAATAGAACCAGGTCCTCACAAGTGCTCTTGACCACTGAACCCTCTCTCCTTGCCCATTTGCCTCTTCAGGGCCACCACCTCTCAACGCTGTTGGCTGGGAAGCAAGCATCCTAGCAGTTGGGTACTGAGACCCAGGCAGTACTCCCTCACAGAGCTCACTTTGCCAGTGCTGGAGTCTTTGTTGCCACCATCTCTTCCAGGAGAGCTGAGGAGAGACCTCGCTCTTGATGTCCCCGCCCTTTGGCCTTGATCCCATTGCTGGGGGCCTGGCCTCTTTAACAGGCTTGCTTTGTCTCCAGCCCATGTGCTGGCTCCTATAACCAGCTGCAAACTGGGTCTTTGCTGGCCTCTAGTGAGAGCGTTTAAAGCTGCATGTGGGTGAATGCAGCATGTTCATTTACCTTTGGGTGAGCCCTGGGAGTCAGTGAAGTGCTGGGATTAAAGGCATGCGCCACCACGCCAGACCATAGAGTGTTTTTTTAATGTTTATTATTTTTATTTCTGTGTGTGTGTGTGTGTGTGTGTGTGTGTGTGTGTCTGTGTCTGTGTCTGTGTCTGTGTTTGTGTGTGTGTGAATGAGTTTATGTGGAGCACATGCATGCAGGTGCCTGCAGAGGCCAGAAGAGGGTGTCCGATCCCCTGGATCTGGAGTTACAGGCCATTGTGAGCCACCCAATGTGATGTGGGTGCTGGGAACCAAACCCAGATCCACTACAAGAGTGGTAAGAGCTCTTAACCACTGAGCCATCTCTCCAGCCTAAATCCCCCGACCCCTTTTTTTTTTTTAAACTAAGAGTTTTACCCTATAGTGCAGGTTGGTGGAACTCTTGGCAGCCTTCCTACCTCAGACTCCTGAAAGCTGGTGTTATAGGCCACTACCACATGCTGATTCATAAAAATTACTTAAAGAAGAGAACTAAAAAGCCACAAAGTAGCCTTGAGAGAGAAAGACAGGAGAGGAGGGACTGACTGTTTAAGTCTGGCCAATTTTATCTAAGAATTTATTCTGTGGAGATCTTAATATAATTGCCTTGAAAAGATTAATTTGTTCAGGTCATATTTTGAATCTGGAAGAAGAAGATGGATTATGCAATAAATGTAGGGTTTACTAAGTAACCGTTTGGAAGAAAGTAAGGTTAATGATTACCGTCATGATAGATCAGAATAAATTTCGTAGATTAAATATTTACATGTTTTTTAAAAGGACGCCATAAAAGTAGTAGACAAAAAAGCATACCTGATTGTTTATATAACCTTGGTAGCAGGAAAGGTTAGCCTAACTCTGGTAAGAGGAAAAAAAGGTTTGATAGAGTTTGAGTAAAACTCAAAGTTTAGTTTAAAAAAACAACAAAAACACCATAAAGAAAAGTGTGGTGGCACATACCTGGAACATACCTGGAGTGCCAGTTACCCTAGAGGCCAACACATTTGTAAGTTCAAGACCTACAAACTAAGAGAGCCCTTTCTCAAAAGTAAGTAAACGGGGCATGTGAGATGGCTCTTTGGGTAAAGATGCCTGCTGTCCAGCCTGACATCCTGAGTTCGATCCCTGAGATGCAAGCACCATTGAGTTACTGTGCCAGTACCCGCCCTCTTCTTTTTTTTTTTTTTTTTTTAAACCTTTTTGGTCTTTTTGAGACAGGGTCTCCTTGTAGCCCCAGCTGACCTGGAACTCACTATGT